TTTGCTTTTTACAAATGTTACTCATTTCCGTGTAGATAATCTTCTACATAAGAATGAGATTGATACATCGATCCGAGACCTCATAAATCGGACAGTAAGTTGGAAACTGTGTAAGAGTCTGAAATTTGTCTTTACTTACGAAAGTGAAAACTAAATAGACCATTTTGTAGAGAATTAAATTCTGCATCGAATGGTATGTCTCTCAATATTTTTTCAAAAATTTTTTTGGTTACAAAATTCAAAATATGATTTTTTACAAGTTTAAAACCCGGTTTTCGATTCTAAAACCTAACTTTTTTACAAAATAAATGTCAAATTCGTAATCAGCGTTAAAAACTGCATCTAGTAATTCATTCAGATTTGTCCAACTCGAAAAAAGAATTTTTCAAAACTTGATCAGCGAAGTGTCGCGTTACGTGGACAAGCCGATATACACTGTTTTATTTGGACTGATCAAAATGACTACCTTTGACTCATATCAGCTTTATAAAACTAGAATTGTTAGAGATTATATTATATCAAAATAGCTTATTTTGTTCAGCTTTTAATTCTCTATCTTCTCATGTATACCGTGAAAATTTTCGACAAGCTGTTGAAACGTAAGCTGGTACATCTTTTATAGAATATTTTTTCTCTTTTTTTTCCAAAAAGGTGTGATAGTGCTAAAAGTCGGTATTGACTAACTTTTCATAGAAAGGGTATTAGAACCTAAAATTTTAGGGTTCGTAGTTTTAGACATTGAAGTTTCGAATGAGCAAAAAAAACCGAAAAAAAAATTTTATCGAGTGCCTTGTATACTCGATGCCCTTATGGACCCTCTCATAAGCACTGAACATAATTAATCTAACTAATCAACTTAATGTTCTTGATAGAAGTTTGATTCTTAGTCTAAGAGAATATTAAACATCTATACTGTTCATTGATCTATTCATAAAAGTTTTTTTAATTAATATAGAAATTTTCAATTCGAAAATATAAATTCATGATCTTACCGCAACTAAATATTTCAACGCTTCTCTAGCTCGTCCATCAAGATTACCATGAATAGGACCAAGACGTGGTACATCAGGATTTTTATGAAAACGATGTTGTTGAGATTGTACAAGTGTTTTAATATCAACACAAGCAAATGTAACTGATTCTTTTTCTTTTTCAAATGACAACTAAAAACAAAAATAATTAATAAAAATAAAAACAAAAAACAAAATTTTCTTACAGTATCTTTAAATAATTCTGAATCCGATATATCATTTTCATCATATGTCCAATTTCGTTCACTAATATTATCATCAATAAATAAATCCGACATCATATATGCAGCAGCACAATAATATTCAGGACATTTTTCTGGATCAAGCATATCTAAACAATGTTTAAGTAATGTACGTATTGTACCAGATTCTTTTAAACGTGTTTCATAATCAGAATTTAATACTAAATTATGTGCCATTTTATAAAGTAATGTAGCAACTGGTAATGTATATGGATTATCATCACCATCTGTTTCACATAAACTTGTTAAATCATATAATTTAACAATATCATCATCCGGACCTAAACAATATTTTTCGTTTTAGAAAATGGATTGAAACACAGACATCATATTACCTTTAAATAACCAATATGTATGTCCTTCTTTTGTTGCATTTGCTTTAAGAAATGAAAGAAGATTCGTAGCTAAATCACGAATAACACTTGGTGGAAATTGACATCCTTCACGATAAGGTATATCTTCTGTTTTAATTATTTCATATGATTGAACAATACCATCAACATGATAACACATTGCTAATTCAGGAACATTACACATTAAATTATCAAGCCAACAATCAATACCGGTTAAAACATTTATTGGTTTATTCATATCTCTGAAAATGAAAACAAATTTAATTTGGCTTTGAAGAAAATTTAATACAAAAATAAACGAATAAACTTAATGTTTACATACGATTGAATTCCTCTACTTCGGTATAATTTAATTTTCGTCAAACTGTCACACTTATTGCCAGTTTTTGCTGTATCAACAATAAAACTAATAAGTTTTGCTATAAAAGGCTATTATTGTAAGTAAATTTATCGATATAATGTCTTCTATGGACTTTTTAGGAAACTCATTTAACGGTGTCCAGCTCTTTTGTAATCGTCTCTGGTTCTCAAAGATGGTATAACAGATCAAGCTCAAAATCTTCACAACAAAAATAAGGTGATACGTGTTCGAAAAAAATGATTTTCAAGTGGATTTTTACGATTTCTTCTTTGAAATCCTGGTTTTGACAAGGCCGTATTCCGAACCTCATTAAATTTTATCCGATTGAGCTTAGACGTTCACTATTGATACTTAAAGGTATTCTCCAGAGATGCAATCGACCGTTTTCATTTTTAATTTTCGAACTTGGCTTTACAGAATCCTAAAAAACTAAGACCTCGGTTTTGGTACCAAACATTTGCGTATAAAAAAAAAGGAAAAAGTGGGATTTATGGAAAAACTTAAAATTACTTCTAACATACAGTCTTAGTTATCTCCAAAAATATTTTCATTCCAATCAGAGGAAGTTTGATGAGTATCGTAATGTAATAGGAAGCGGCCCTATGAAAATCGGGGTTTTTCAGAAGAAACCGCAAAAATTTATTTCAAAATTTTTTTTCATGAACACGTGTCTTCTTATTTTTGGTGTAGAAATTTCAGCTTGATTAGTGCTACTGTCTTCGAGAACCAGAAACGATGGAAACGAGATGGCGGATATTCTTAAGTCCTAATGTACTTAATCAATGACCAGATATAGGGACATAACAGGTAATAGACATCAAGGATAAGTACCTCACTTTCACTTTCTATAACAGTTTTTCAAGAAGAACAATAAATCATATTATCAATGCTAACAAGTTCATTGTGATAATCATATTGAATGATTTTCTTTATTATTATTTCAATCAGTGATGGTTATTCTTTCGAAATAGAATAATTAATTCTTTTATAATAATTATTAATAATATTTGTAAATACCTTAAACGAAGACTAACAGCTGGATGTTGTTCATCACCAAAAATAGGTAAATCTGAACCAATTAACATTTTCATATTTTCAAATGTCCAATTAACAGTTCGTTGAAATGGTGATGAAGTACAATCCGCATTTTTATTTTCATCACTATCATCATCAAGATTATTATTTGCATTAACAAGATCTCTTATTTGTTGAAGAAGTGCTGCAGCAGTAGTCGTTGTTGATTCATTTGTTGTTGTAGTTGTTGTTGTTTCTGTTGATTGAGATTCATCATTATTAGATGTGGAACGTGTTAATTGAGGTAATTCAACACTATAATATCACATAATATAATAGAAGAAGAAAAATGACATGAAAATACCTTTGACATAAGAATTTAACTAAACGATCTTTTCGTATAAGTTCATCACGTGTTTTATTTTTTTTATAAAAATGTTTAACGGAAATATTGCGTAAAATTGTGTCGAGAAAAAAATCTCGAAACCATGTCCATTCATTCTACATAAAATCATATTTATTAAAAAAAAAATGAAAATATTAACAATTATTATTCAATACTTTTTCAAGACGTAATAAATGTGAATGAACATCAAATTCATCGAGAAGTATTGTTCGTCCTAAACGATGTACTATCATTGATATTTGACTATGTTTATTAAATGGAACTTTAAGTAATTTTTTAATGTGCTAGTTTAAATAGATAAAAATTAAAGTGTTTTGTATTGGAAAAAAATAAATAAACAAACCTCAGCATCTGATATAACATCAACTTCACCCAAACTATCCGTATGTGCATTTGCTGAACGAAAACTAAAATTAAAAATTAAAATTAAATGAATACAAAAAAAAACAACGTTAGAACAATCTCATATCAATAATAATTAACCTTTGTTGAAAAAAAAAAATCTTTACTAAACACTCGACACTGTAATTTTATATATTTGAATAAATGATATATGGTCGAGGTATGACAAGTGTTCGAAAAGTAATTAAACAAAGAATAATTTGAATATTTCGTTATGTGGATCAGTACTTTTACCAATGATAATACAGTGTTCATAGCTAATATTTACAAGAAAAATGGGGTTCCAAAACGTTTTGAAGTATTTACAATTGACTTTAACAAATAACTGTAACCTTTTACAAGCTATGGAAAAACAATATATTTATTCTCTTAGTCAAGAACAAACGACATCTAATTTTTTCGATTAATTTTCAAAAATACTATTGCTCGGACTTGGAACCTAAAGAGTCAAAAATTTTCGGATCTGAGACGAACCCGACGGACTCATATTTATACTACGGATACATGTGTTATTACTCAGTGTAACCTGAAAGTTGCAGCTATAAAAAAATAAGAATTTGTTGACAAAACTATAATATTCTTTTTTTTTTTATAACTCGTGAATTGCTACAGATCTTTGTTAAAGTCAGTTGTACTACTTATTAGCAATTTTTGAGAACGTTTCTCTTATCAATATGAACTATGAATACTCATTTATAAATGATAAAAATATTAGCCCATATGGTCGAAATATGGCCGAGATATTCAAAATTTTCTACGCACCCTATATGTTGCAAAAAATCGAGAGTTTCAACGAAATATTTCTCTTATAGAGCAATTTATTGATGAAGCTTGAATGAATTTCAGTTTAGCATTGTTTATTAGGCTTGTATCGAGTAGCCCTCGGATTTTTTCCGCAGAATACGCTCGTTATGATTAATATGATACAATTTTGTTTAGCTTGCATAGCATATGTCATACAAATTTCGAGTCCGAACAGTTGAATTTCGACAAACGAAATCTTTGTTCATATTTTGATTGTTTACAAACATGACTATAAATAAAAAATAATTTTTTCTTCTTCTATCATCTTTTTTCTAGAATATTCTAGAACAAAAGATTACAAATAGTGATGCAATAACTATTTAAACAATATTTTATCAAAGACATTAACTTTTAAAATCTGGCGATTTTATTAAGAATTTGAAGGTTTCTGAAGCTAGTATTCTCTTACAATTTCGAACATAAAAAAAAGGTTCATAATTTGAGAGATTCTTTCAGATATTATGCTTACTTTTAATTTCTATAAAAATGAATAAACATTTATACAAAGACCTGTACAATAGAGACTACGGTATTTTATGACAATTGCCTGTAGAATTGAATTTCTCGATTTTGTTTTTCGGAAATTTCAATATTTAACATGAACGTTGAATAAAAATTTATATTCAAGTGGGAAAAAAACCATATTCTTTCTACTAACCTTCCAAAAATATCATCATGATTGGCTCTTTGCTGAAGCCAATATGAAAGTAATAAAGCTATTTCGTTGTTCCATACAGGTTTTTCATTAAGGTCTAAAAATATTATACTCAATTAACAAAAAACAAAATGAAATTATCATTAAATTACCTGTATCTTTATCTAAAAAATTACATTTAATATAAGGTACTGTTGATGGTGGATTAATTGAAACAAGACTGGATGATGATGAAGATTCATCCATGATGCAATCAATGTTGTGTAAAAATCTAAAATGAGACTTATTTTCGTTTTCTACTCGGTCGATCCTATGAAATGAAATATGAATTTGACACGTCAATTTGTTAACCAATTACATCAATGACTAGATGTCACAACATATTTCATATTTGAAGAAAGAAAAGATTATGTCATGGTATTGCTCAACATATTTATTTAAAAACAAAAAGTAAGATGTCGTCCAAATTAAAAATAGCTTTAATACAACTTCTTAGTTCATCATCAAAACAACAAAATATAACTCGAGCATGTGATTTAATCCGTCAAGCTGCATCAAATGGTGCACGTCTTATTGTTTTACCTGAAATATGGAATAGTCCATATGGTGTTAAATATTTTTCTCAATATGCTGAAACAATACCTAATGGTGAAACTACACAAGCATTAAGTGCATGTGCACGTCAAACTAATACTTATCTTGTTGGTGGTTCAATACCTGAACGTGATGGTGAAAAACTTTATAATACATCAACTATATTTGATCCTAATGGAAATTTATTAGGAAAATTTCGTAAAATACATTTATTTGATATTGATATTCCAGGTAAAATAACTTTTAAAGAAAGTGATGCATTATCATCTGGTCAACAATTATTTACATTTGATATTGATCAACAATATCGTATTGGTCTTGCTATTTGTTATGATCTTCGTTTTCCATTATTAGCATCATTATATTCAAATCGTCAGTGTCATGTTCTACTCTATCCTGGAGCATTCAATATGACAACAGGTCCAGTACATTGGGAATTATTATTACGTGCACGTGCACTTGACAATCAAATGTACGTTGCTGGTATTAGTCCAGCACATGATGAACAAGCAGATTATAAATCATGGGGACATACAACATTAGTTGATCCATGGGGAACAATAATTAGTAAATGTGAAATGAATGAAGAAATTATTTATGGAGATATTGATCTCGAACATTTAAATACAATCAGAAAGCAATTACCATATTTATCTCAACAACGAAATGATGTTTATACATTAATTGATAAGAAAAAAGATGATTAAAGGTGGGATTGTGCTGTAAAATCGTTCGATTTTTTTGTTAAGTCGAAAAATTTTCTATTATGATTATGTTTTGATTTGCTGATCACTCATTTCTTTTGTTTTCTTTTTGATTTAGTTGTAATGAAGAAGTATCATGATCCCAAATAATACTTATTATCTATATTATAGAATTCTTATTAGAATATTTCTTTCATCATGGATCGAATAATTTGAATAGCTCACGATGGATTTTTTTAAATTTCAGATAGACATATATGGACAATGATAATTCACATGACAATATGCAACGTACTAACGGTAACGGAAAAGATATAAAAATTAACGACAAGATACCTGGTGGTGAAAAAAAGAGATTATTAGAAGAGCCTAGACCATCCAAAGGTTTGTTGATTAACATAATTATATAACTGTTTTTGAATTTTACCACATATTTAGGATCAACGAATACTGAAATGGGTATATTTTTTTGTGATATCTTCTTTGTATTGTTTTTGTTTTGTTAATACTCGAATACTTTAACACAGCTTATTTGTTTATTAATATATTAATGAATAGATAAACACATGAATGAGCGTTCTAGAAAATTATTTTAGTTCATCAAATGAAATGCTAGATAGAAATAGTATTTCGTGTAAATCTATCTAACAATGATTAAATGGATAATGAAAAATACTTCGACAGATAAATATCGAGATTTTGACAAAAGAATTTTAAACTAGTATGTTAACATCTCTCTGATAGGAAATATTCGTAATTCGTGAGTCTCTTAATTGACAATGATTTTTTTTCCTGATTATTACTTTGTTGTGAGATTCAGATAATTCTTTTCAAGTACTTAATCGCAATTGATTTAATATAAGATTCCGACGATTCGAAATTTGAGACATTTAAAAATATCAGAAAAACTTATAGAAATTGAAATACACCAAACGTATCAAATCTCAGTCACCTCAGCATTTATCCGATTTTTTTTAGTTTAAATCATCAAATAGCTAGAAAAAAAATGTATACATCTTTTTTGAAAAAATATTGTTTGATTGTCGAAAAACTCGATTTTTCGATATGATAGTGAACAGACCATTAAGAAACGTTCGTATTCAGTGATTTTCACGGTCAGGAATTCAGTTCTAAAACAATTTCGGTACTTACATCTTCTCACTGTTATTCTCGACCTGATAGTTCCCCTAAGGTAGAAATTTGAGAAAAAATAATTTTAAACATTGATGAAATTATTCGATGCAGATTTTTGTGGGCCTTTGTGAATATAATATATGTTTCTTATGAAACTGAATTTCTGATCGTGAAAATCATTGAATACGAACGTGTTTTTATGACTTATTGATCATATCGAAAAATCTAGCTTGTCAACAATCAAACCATATTTTTCAAAAGGCATGCATATATTTTTTCCTAAGTATGTAATGAATACAATGAACAGACAAATTCAGATAAATATTGATGCTACCGAGTTTTGATAACTTTGGCATATTTCAATTTTTGTAAGCTATTCTGATATTTTTAAACCGAATTTTCCTAATTTTTACTAAAAAAAAACAAGCGTCTGAATACGTCAATAACAACATTTTTTGAGGCACCTCGATGAGCTTCACCCAAGCATGGCGAACATATAAAAAAATATGTCACTCAAATATTGATGTCATCTTATAATTATCAAAAAAATAGATTCATCTTTAGAATATAATAAATTTTATAAATTTCAATAATATTTCACCACAAAAAAAAAACATCATTGTTCATTTTATTCTAATACGAATAGTTTGATATGATAGAAAACTAACACTTTCATATCGAATAAATTACGATTCGCTACATTGAAATATTGAGTTTGTTTTTCTGTAACTTACAGGTTGTAGAACGTCAAAAGAAGATATGTCATCCAATGAAAATATTGGTAAATGATTACTTTTATATTTGTTGATATTCATATGATTTATATATTTAGAAAATGCAAAAAAACAAAAAGCGACAGATAAAGAACCTATAACCAAGGAGAAAAACAGCAATGCTCAACAAACAAATAAAGAACAAAAGGTAGAAAGGAACTAATTGTTATATGTAATAAAACAATTGTTCTATATCCAGGCATCTAAAACAAATACTACTCCGATTAATCGACAAATATCAAACACTTCTGCTCAATGCATGAGTGATAGTGACGATAATGAAAATAATCCTACTAATAGATCACCTGTTCGTATGACACGATCATCGTTTTTTTCGTCTAAACTTAGTCTTCGTTTTGATAATTCCGATGATGAGGAAAATTCATCGTATTCGTCATGGGCTCAACGTGATATAGCCGAATATCGTAGTGGTTATCCAGATGCACGACAATACCCAAGAATAAAAGATAATTATGACTTTTATATTAATAAAATTTGTTCTCATCCTGATGGAGATTTTATTGATAACATACATAAAAAGTGGTTTGGTGATTACCGTAGATTAGAAATTCATCATGGTTATATTCAATGGTTATTTCCATTACAAGAACGAGGTCTTAATTATTCTGCTGAACCATTACAAAAACATGAAATTGAATTAATTAAAAAAGATGAGAAGGCACTAAAACGTATATTAACATCGTATAAACTCATGTAAATTAAACAATCATTTCATTGTTTTCTTTCTATTGATTATTTTTTTGGTAGGCTTGATTTTTATGGTTTTGAATTAGTCGATGAAAAAACAGGTGAAATATGTCGTTTACCTGATGATGCTTACAAATCACGTTTTCGTAATTTGAATACATCATCTCATAATTATTTACGTATAACTGTAAGTTTACAAAATAATGATTTTGTTTTTAAAAACAATTCATAATTTATTGTATTTTGATTTTTTTTCTAGCGTATTTTAAAATGTCTAGGTGAATTCGATTATGAATATCTCAAATTTCCTTTTCTTGAACAAATATTACGAGAAAGTATTACAGAAAATACATTACCAAATTGTCTTCGTTCATGTAAAGATTATTGGATTGAAACATTACGAAGTCGAGATGAACGACATGCTATTCGACAATATGCAAGAGATTTACTTGATTATCAAAAAAAGGGAATAATACCACCACAACCGCATCGTGCTATTAGGCCATCATCATCAATCTCAACATCAACAACAAAATCCACAAAAAAAACTAAACAATCGTCATCAAAAACAATAAAAAATCATAATAATAGTGATTAATTATTGTCCAATGTCTGTGATAAATAATATACAGAGAATCCAAACTATTTTTCGATGAAAAGATATCTTTTTTTCTTTTGTCGCATATTTCAATAAAATAAAATGATAAATTAAAAGAATGAACTGTATATGTTTAAAAGGCACGAACCAGAGAAAAAAAAGAAGAACTTGAATAATACAAAAAAAAAGCTTATTTCTCGAATATTCTAATGTTCTACTGAAACACACATTGAATGACAAGATAGAAAAAAAATTTTAACAAACTGCAAACAGATCAGCTGATATGGATATAAATGGTTGTTTTGTTTTGTTTTATTTTTTTAAGCTTAGAAAATAAATGTTTATGTCAATTGTTCTGTTCGTTTAAAGATCACGACCGACTAAATAAATAATAGAAATTTCATTGAAAAAAAATACAAATAAGTTAACTCACTTTCAACAGAGACAGTACATGATTTTTCAACTTTGCCCAATGGATTGCTTGCAATACATGTATATGTACCTTGATCATTTCGTTGTAATGATTGAATTTGAAGCCATGATGTAAGAACATGAGCATTAGGTCCACCTCGAACTAATGTTGAAATACGATCATCATCAGCTATATTAATCAATAGATATATTATATTCTTTTTAATATATATATATATATATATATTTACTTGGATAGACGATTTGTTTTCCTGTTGGTGCAATATAAAGCCATTCAACAACAGGTAATGGAACACCAGCAACTTCACATGTTAAAAATACATTACTTCCTGTTTTATTTGAAACACTAACTGGTGGTAATGTTATTTCAGGTGCTAGAAAAAAATAAAGATAAAGAACATAGAAGAAAAATAAGAGTTGCTTTTGCTTCATAACCAATATATACCTGAATCGCATGGTTTACGTTTAAAGACTTTAATAGCTGGTTTTTGTTCAATTTTAGCAAGTTTGCTTGACTCCATTAAATGACAGTAATTACGATAGGTCTTACCATCGGAACTTTTTTTAAAAAGAAATCTTAGAAACCTTGATCGAGAAATTTATTATTACAACTTACCCACACATTTCAACTTGATCATTACATTCACATCGAGCTTCACGAGGTACTCCACGACTATCCATGCGAAGTCTATATGTGAAAAAATTATATCTTTAATGTTGCAAATGACATATGTTCTTTGAAATTTTGATATCTCTTTTAATGTTTTAACAATATTTTTGACGTAGAAATCTAACTTTTGCAAAAATGAAACTTTGAATATTTTAGGTAACTAGGTAGTAACAGTCGGATATCGATATGACATAATAAAACCAATTTCTCTTTCTATAACTCGGGTGAATCAAAATAATGCAGCATTTTGAATTCTTACAAGGAAATTATCCGAACTGATATCCGCAATTTAAGCTCATATTGGGTTTACAAGGGAGTCACACTAGAAATATCCTAAAAGGTTGCGTGCGCATGGATCTCTAGAGTCGATTATAGCTGTTTTACCGAGTTGTCGATTCGACTTTACATATTTACAGAAAAATCAAATGATGGAATTTCGATCTAAAATTTTGAGCTTAGATCGGCCAATGATCAGTAGAATATTCTGAAAGTTTCAGCTGAAAAAAGATATTTCTTTGTCGAGATATTGAAATTTCAAGTACAGTAGACAATCGTGGCATATTTACGACAAACGACCATTTTTTGAAAATTTAATATCTTGACAAAGGAATATCCTCAGAGTCATTGAACCTATCTATGAGTAAAATTTCAGATCGAAATTTCCTTATTTGTTTTTTGTCTATGTATACTTTAAGTCGAATCGAAAATTTAGTAAAACGGGCATAACTCGATTTCAAAGGGCCATGGGCACGAATCATTTTAGGATTTGTCTAGTCTCACTGAAATCCCTTGTGAAGCCAGTAGGAGCTCCAACGGTAGGCATCAGTTAGATTAGTTCCAGCGTTAACTTGTTGCCAAGAGCTATTCTAGACTGAATTATCAGTCTGAAGATATTTCAATCGGTGTTACAAATTACTTACTTGCATTGGAGATTTTCCCCACACGCTTCATATTGTTTGCTTGATGGAACATCTGGGTGATTGCATAGTTCACTCTAATACATAAAATCAATAGATACAGATGTTTTTCAATATAGTTATGTGTCCAACCTCGCGTTGAGCGCAAACTTGACAACAGCCACATCTGTCGAGTGTCAATCCGGCAAGACACTCTTTGTCCAAAGTCTACAAATATTTGTATAGGTTTATTCAATGAAAAAAGAAACTAGACAACATCATTCTAGAGTTACCATTGGACATTTGCTTGGATCGCATGATTCACATGGTTTATTTTGTGCTATAACTATCGAAAAAAAGATAGTTAAAGCAAGTAATGTTACAAGATGAAGAGTAGCCATCGTGTATTATTAATGTTAAAGCAGTTGATATGTTGTTTGTTCTTTCTTCGTTCTTTCTCACTGATGCTGCTTCAGATATTATTATGTCCGTTTGCGGTTATATAGGAGAACGACAACGATGATATATTGACAAGTTCCTAACCAATATAGAGTAAGAGAAAAAGAGAGAAAAAAAAGCTAGTATAAACAGTAACCGTACGGTTCTATATAACGAGAAGAAGAAAAAAGAAGGAAAGGATGGTTTCGTCGTCATATATCTTCCAGATCTATTCCTTGTCAGCATATCTATGTTTACTTATCAGTCTAACCAAGAAACCTAACGTCCTTCTTCTCTACTTTTTTATCCTATGGAAAAATTCTCGAGAAAACACAATTAATTCTTTTATCTATGGGCGGTTGCCAATACAGTCTTATTCTATTCCATAAACTGTGTACTTATCCTTTCTTTCTGTTGATATTATTCACACAACTATTCGCTCGCTTATAGATTGTATAATAGACATGCACAAAAAAAAGAGAGCAGACCGAAAAAAGCTTGTACTATGTAGCATGTACATGTAGTAAGGAGAATATTAATAGGGGATGACAATATATATGTTGTCCTTCAGCGATTCACAGAAAACGAAGGCTAATAGTATTGTTATCGAATAGTTATTATATTCGAACAAAAAACGCCAGAACACTCAATTTTAAGTAAATTGGTGATATTTAGAGTCAATCGAAGTTGCTCTTGTGTGAACTACTCAATTGAGATTAGATACAATTTGAACTTGTACTTTGAATAACAAAAACAATTCTTTTAATTCTTTTTCTTGTACATTATATAAATATAAATGAAAATTTAATAATAAAGTATAACTTTTATCCTTATTGTTATCTATGAGAAACATCGTCGGTGTGTACTTTTTTTATATTGTTTTTGAACTATTATGTCCATTGAATCTTGCAAGAGTATATTATTCGAAAAATATTATGGTGTTGATGTAGAAATCATATCGATAAAGATTGGTTAAACATGATTGGTCTACTGACATCAACAGTAATTTTTTGTGTTAGCGATGAAGCCTTCATTAGAGATGATGATAAAATTTTTCAATCAAAAAGTAATTAGACTTTAAATCTTTGTTATGATGATGATGATGTAATTTTAAATCAACAATTTATTGAACTTGACACATTATTTTATTCACTTTAGAATGTTTTAGTACTTGGATCGTTTTATGGTGTTTGAAATCAACTATGTACTTAGATTAAAGGCTGAACAGTAGACATTAGTTTTACATATTTTTTCTTTTCTTTATTTTTGATTTTCAATTTAGATGGATTTATACTCAACAAGCAGAAATAGTCAAGAAACATTGTATTCAAAAAAAAGAAAAATTTATGACCTCTTTAGAATTTTATAGTTATATTTATTAGACACTATTTTTTATTAATAGACATTAAAATATAGAAATAATGAAGAGAACTATACGGTTATATAGTTCATTTCATGAATTTTAATTTCGATGAGTTAGTAATGACCTAATGAATTATGAAATCGGACTTCCGTTCGTGAAGAAATGGAGTTGCACAGGTCTTTTTTTTTAATTAAAAAAGAGTTTATTTTATTCAAGTTTTCATTTTATAAGCTTTCAACAAATGACTTAAGTTGATGTTCCTAAATTAATTTATTAAAATAAAAATGTCACTTTCAAAGATGTCGAGATTGCACATGATTTACAATGAATTATCGTATTATAAAAATGAATGAAGATGCTTCTTTTTCTTTTTCTTCTATAAACTATTATAATAATTATCTTTTGCAAAAAATCTTTCTACGTATTTTAAAAAAAAAATTAAATTTTAAACACAGCATTTTAAGTTTTATATCATTATTTTACATGCTAATGGCGAAGGATACACAAAAATTGTATCTTTTTTTTTCTTTTTAGGATATATATATGTTCGTAAAAATAATTCTAGCATTAAAAATAAATGCATTATCTCTTCACTTGCTGACATTAAATAATATATCTTTAAATGAGTCAGCTATTTTTCATAAATAATTCTTCTCATTTACGATTAACTATAAACTTTTTATTCTTGGATCTTATCAATAAGAAGAAAAAGCCATTGTAGATTTTAAAATACATTTTTATGTCTATTAAGGAAAGCTATTGACACACATATTTCTTTCGAGCATCTAAATGAATAGGACAGAAAATCGTGCTCAACGATGTAACTCTGCATCCGCTACCATCTAATAATTTATGAACGTGATAAAATTAAATAAAGTAAAGTAAAAACTGAAAAATACTAACACCAGACGTATATCTATAAACTACCTTATAAGTCTATTCTCATTGAACATTCATCTTCGACATTAATTAAAGTGACAAACATTCTCAAGCATTGTGATAATGACATCAAATTTTCAAATATATGTAAAACAGTTAAATTATGAAGGGGAATAGACTTATAAGATAGTTTATAAGTGTTTGAATGAATGTTATTGCCGTATTGCTTTTTACTCTGGTTCATCTAATTACATCAAGTCCATATTTTTCCATTGAATATTAGTGAGTGTCAATAGAGTTATTTCGTTGATGATGATTGTTTAACGTATTTATTTAGATGTTTTATGTGAAAAATATGGATGTTAGTAGTTTTTCTTAATAAACTTTTTCTATAGAATATATTGCAAATAAGAGTTCATGAATGTAACGTGTTTCTATAACATTGATCAATTAATTTTGATTGAGTTAGGTTGAAGCATTCGATAATAACTTATCAGATATCGATACAAAAGATTTTTTCCTCTTTTCAAAAAATCAAGAATAATTATGTATTGTCTGTATATCGTATCACTCGATTAATCATAGTTTCTTATCTTTTATTTGATTGAAAAAAAATCTTCAGTAGTTTATCTCAACATTTCTAAAACGTCATCTTCGAACTTTTTTAATATCAGTTGTAACTCAGCAAACATGTTTGATTTCTTTCTGTATATCTCTTCGCTAGAATGATGCATTTAATAATAAGAGAGAAAAAAATACCATAGAAACATTTGATGCCAGTAAAATATAAGATTCATTCAGCATTTTTCTTCTCGAGTCAACTTACAATATAATGTAGACAACTTAATTTGAAATATATCCTCGAGTTCTTATTAAATTTTTCGAACAGAATACCTTAGAATACTTCATAAAACTATCAAATACTAAAGCATTCGATGAGTCAATATTATTTTCTTCTATTTTAATTCAAATAGTTTATTGAAAAATAATCTGGTGGGTACATAAGGATAAATAAAAATCTTTGTGATGTATTAGTATGTTAGTTTTTAGGTGTATACATCATCTCTTTTCTAATTTTTTTTTAAAATTAACTTTGTTATAATAAATCCTTTAGATAAATTATGTTCTTTAATGATTTACATGAATATTTGTAGAAAATATTTTTGAATAAACATACATTTTTTCATAAAACTGAACATTCATAATTTCATGGAATTGTTTTAGCATTTAATTATATATCTTATATAGAAAAAAAAACATTCTAATGGGAAATCATGAAACATCTATGCAACCATAGGGAAAAAAAGACTTTATCAAGTTGTAATATATATTTCAATAGAGAAAAGACATTCTAAATAAATCATTCTTTAGTAGTAAAGTGCACAAAATTTCAATTTTATATTAATCATGCTTCAGAGACACATGAATAGTTATTGATTTTCTGTGAAAATAAATATACTACAGGGTGATCCAAAAGTTACTTCCTTCAGAAAAAAAAGGTTGAGTAGTTTTGTCATCTTTAGACTGAATGCATTGAGTTTCTTTTGCTCTTAATAAAATAGTGATCATACTCGAGACTTATAAGAAAAATAATGAAAAATAGATTTTTCGAAGTACTACTGTTGATACGTGCATAGACCTTAAGTTCCCAAAAAAAGAAATAACTGTATTTATTGCTGTGAATAACAATCGACAGCTTATAATATTGTCAATCGATGCTTTAGAAACTTGTCGTTTGATCCAAAATTACTACCATAAGTATATGTCTTATTAATTGATGTAATCTCAAAGTTTTAGTCATGAACAAGTGAAGTTATTAAATGAATTATTAACAAAATTTTGTTTGTTTTCATAACTAGTCAAACATCGTAAGTTTACACCTATGTTAAAAGTAGTACTTCGAGAGAATATTTTTTTTTCATTGTTTTTCTTATAAACATGAACTACGAACACTGGTTTATTAGTACTGAAAAACATCAATCTATTTGGTAAACATACGGCGTAAATAATCAAGGCTTTTTTCTCGTGATCGTAATTTTTGGGTTCTCGTGTATATATTTATATATAAAATAATAAGGGAAAAAAGCTTGTTTCAAGCTAAGAAAATAAGTTTGTATTCAAGGGATTATCCTCAATTACTTTTTCTTTTTCTTTTACTTCTAATTTATATACTTTCATTTCTTTACATAACAACACAACTTGATTTTTCTTCATTAAGATGTCAACATCTTTAGTATTTTCATTGGGTTTTCTAATTTCATCATTATTATTTATTTCATGTTCATCAATATATCGCCCATCATATGTTTCTTCTTATGAAGAAAATAGTGAACCTTACTATGGTCAATTCAATAGCAATGAAGACGATTATATTCCCTTAGTGATTTATCCGAAATATGCATCTGTTCATAATTTTCAACGATCACTTTCATATCATCCTCGGACAAGTCGTAATTCATGGTTTCGTGTATCAACTTATCAACATATGAAACCAACTCTTGAATCAGAAGAAAAATCTGCTGGTGATAATCTTATGCGATGGGGATGATCATGATTATAATAAACAATAAGAAAATACGCTTTTTTTTGCTTTCAAATAAATAAAAATGACATGCAGATTGTGTCTATGTCAAATAGCAGACAGGCGATGTGATAAGAAACTTAACAAGAAAAAAAAGACATTAAAATAATTGATAAACGTCATCAAAATGAAATTTTTATGTTTTATCTTAAACACCTACGCTTAAGAAGTATTATATAGACAGAGATTTTAATTCATTATATTATAAAAAATTGTGTACGAGTATCAGTCAAAGAAAATTCAACTGTGACAATCAAATTGAAAAATGTATGTATCTAGTATGTCAATATTATTCTTTGCAGTGATTATACTGATCAGTGCATCTGCTGTGCCATTTTCACCTCTATATCAAATTAATGATGATCAAATGAGTAGAAATACTGGTGATGCTCAAATGCAATATTTTCTTAAACGATCTGTAAAACTAGATTTATGGCCATACAAACGTAATTCTCCTTTATGCGATTATCGCTTACAATTTCGACCACTCGGATTAACACCAACTCTTTGTGCATATCGTTAGTATTGTTTCTTTTTTTAAATTAAAATTTATGAATATTGGTTTACTTTATTTAGGAAACAGTCATAAAGAAGAAGATCCAAATTCAATAAATCCATTTAAATACGGTTAAAATATTTTTCCGTGATTTTGAACTATATGAAATATCGATCCCATGCTTTTAATTTGAAAATATATATTAATAAAAGCAAAGAAATAAAAATAAAAACAAAATTTTTTTTTGTCAAATAAGCATTTATTTATTTACATTGGTTGGAAATTAAAATAAAGAAAAAGACTGATCGAATTAATTCAATAAGAAAAGAATTTTCGATGTGTTTTATCAATGAAAAAAATTGTATGAATGAGTTTCTATCATATAATACAAAAATAATTCAATGATGTAAATTGAACAACAGTAAAAGCGATAAGATTTTAGTTACTCTAATTTAAACCATTTTCTTTACAGTCATTATACATATATACAGGGTATTTCATAAGTCTCGAGGCTTGACGAAAATTAGTTCTCATATAAAGAAAAAGTATTTTCGAACCTAATGTTTTTATATGAAGTTTGTGTACTCGTGACACTCTATCAAATGGCGTATTAGAATATGATATCTTCCCTTACAGTAATAGAAATATAAACATGAGAATATAACGATAAATTTTATGAAATCGATCAATGTAGGTTTTTTAAAAAATATTTTTAAAAAAATTTGGCCGTTTTACAAAGAGAATAGTATAGCAAAAACCAATAACTAGGTAATTTAATCGTTTATCCGACGCTCAATGTTAGTGACTGATGACACGTTTAGCTAAGCTATACGTTCAGTAACCGGAGAAAGTGGATAAAATATATGAATACCTCACGTGCGTAACGGAGAAGCACACACTATGTACAGAACGAAAACTTTTCTCGTTATCGGACGTGTTCATTTTTTTTCTTATTGAAAACGTTTATTGACTGTATTGTACGACTGACCGTTTTCCTATCGATTCTAATCAAGCAAAAGCAAATTATCGAAAAAGTACATGTCGATTTCTGTTATTCTTTTATTTTTGTTTCTTTAATTCAGTTTGATATGATTATTATTTTCTACTTGATATTCATTTCGACATTCTCAACATATATTGATGTCTCGTAAATCAGTTCGATTACAAGAAAAAAAATTGTTCCGACCACTCGTATTATTATTACATCGTCAAAATCCTAGCTAGACTGTACCTGATATTGCAGATTTTTTTGAATAATCAGACAATCCACCGAATTTAACTTGATATTCTTTAGTGAATAGAATTCATTATTTATTAGCGAGAGGATCAATTGATGATAGAAAAAGGTCTGGCAGACCACCAACTACCACACCTGCACCTTACAGAAACATGGTCTTAAAAAACATTCAAATACAAAACAAAGCCAGTGCTAGAAATGTTTCAGCAAAATTAAAAGATTAGGTTGGTAAATATCACCAACTTCAGTTTCTAGGGTTGCAAAATTCGCGTATTTGAAATGGTTCAAAAAACAAAGATCTCAAAAACTGACACATGAAAATAAAACGAAACGTATTTTATGTACAAAAATATTGAGAAAAAATTTTTGTATTACAAAAAGATCAAAGAAATGGATGTGGGATCAAATTATTAATACAGATTTTTCAGGAAAATTTACTTTAGAATCATATTCAAATTCACATAGTGAAAGTATTTGGGCAACAGATGCTGATGAAATATCACCAGCATACCGTAATCGATCAAAAAACAAGTTTGCGAGTAGTGTTATTTTTTGGGATGGTATTTCATACAACAGTTTAGCTCCTAAAAATGGTCCCATTGATGCTACATTATGGTTACAAAAACAAGTGAAAGATAAACAAAAGAAAAGAAATTATATGAATGGTCAATTATATGATAAATTTATTAAAGAAATCGCTTATGAAAAAATTCAAAATGTATGTTGAACAGATGTTATATTTCAAGACGATGCAAATTCAAAACAACGAACAAAAGTTACATTCCAAACTGTTGATGATCTATTTTATGATCGAATTTCACCACAAGAAGGTGATGCCAAGTTCGGTGACATCTGGCCCATTGAAAATATACGGGGAATATTGAAGAAAAAGTACGACGTGAACAATTTTCAAATTTTAAACAGTTAAAAAATAGATTGAACAAAGAATGGAAAAGAATAACCTGTGATGATTGTCAAAAAATGATCGATAGAATTCCTAAACGACCTCGTGAAGTGATAAAATGCGGTGGCGAACAGATACGTGATTGTTAAATCATATTTTTATGTAATCCAACTAATATATGAATTGATAAACAAGAATATTTTTTACAAAATATATTATTGATCGATTTCAAAAAATGTATCGTTACATTCTCGTGTTTATTTTTCTTTTACTGTAAGAGAAGATACCATCTTCTAATACGCCACTTGATAGAGCGTCACGAGTACTCACACTTCATATAAAAACATTAGGTTCGAGAATACTTTTTTCTTTATATGAGAACTAATTTTCGTCAAGCCTTGAGACTTATGAAACACCCTGTATCTACGTCTTTCTATTCTAATGCAATACCCGTTAGATACATACTAAGGTCAATGATTGTTTTCTTTCCTCTTCCTCTTTCCTCTCTCTCTCTCTTTTATGCAATGGAGACGGCTTGGGTGACATATGATTGAGCGCAAAGATTTCTTATATAATCACTTTTTCGTTCATCAAAAAGTAAGAAGAGCTTGATTGTTTTCCCAAAAATTTCTTCTACAAAGTGTAGCCTCTGGAACAATGACAAATTTATAGAATTATCAGATGATGATAGGTTATAAAAAACGAAAAGTATCTGGATGTAGCGAATCAATGAAAAAAAACATTTTTTTATAGTTATGACTAATTAGAATAGTTAGAGTCTTGTTTTCATCTTTTACAGTGTTTTATATCACTTAACTTTTATCATTGGTTTATTCTGTGAATTATAGGATATTTTTCTCATCCTTAAATTCCTCAAGCTTTCCTAGCCTTCGATTAATGCTAAAAGATTGTAACACAAGAGAAAATATTTTGTGTGTTGATACACTAATATATGTGCTATTTATTTTCTGTTTGATTCCGCAGTCATTTCTCTATTTGCATCCATCAGTATCAATCGAATATAGTCGGGAGCGTGGAATGTACATGTAGGTGCTAGATCTGAGTATGCAATTCACAAATTCACAAGTCGGACGTCAATACGAAGATTTCTATAGTCAACTATTTTAGAAACCAAGATAAACTGATAAAAATCACAGTAAACAAGAAGACGGATAGAATCACATATTATGAATATAGCTTGTTCGAATGACGAAAGACTTAAGTCTAAATAACTCCTGCGTATAATCGATGGGAACCCCATTAACACCATGTGATTTTGTTTACCATAAAGCTGTTAACTCGTGATTGGCTAGACATTATATATTATTTCTCGTTGTCTATCTCTTTACGGTATGCATCAGTGGTCATTTCAATCATGTTAACTATGGACTATTATAGTTCGAAAAAATACTGTGATTTTTCCGAGTATTTTCAAATCGGCTCATGCTGCGCAAACAAGTCCTGTAAAAATAGGTGCAATTACACTCTAAAGTACATCACAATACGTGATATATTTGTACTTTGCTTATGGGTTCAAACTTATTCTATATATAAATACAGTGCAGCTTCCTTTTTCTCTATGCACAAGCAATATATTAGCATACAGGTAGATATCGATACGTTGGATAACTATGAACCAACAACATATTGTCTTGGTCATTGCAATTGCATTAATGGTAGATAATGTCTATGGAAGTTATTTACAAGTTAAAATACTTTCAGCTCATTCAGTATTCGATAAAACACAAGATGTAGCAGTGGAAGTACAATNATATCTCGAATTTTTAAAACAAAAGAAGCTCCTCAAATGTTAGCTTCTTAGGGAGATATTTGTAAGCAAACGAAACTTTGTCTGAGATGTCAGAAAAGAAATTTCTCTTGTTTGGTTTTGAAATTCATTTTTACATTGAAGTTAATATTTCCTGATTTTCTGTTCTTTCAATCATTCGAAGAAAAAAATAATAAAGAATTTCGATGCACACATACAGAAAGTGAACCGAATAACAGTGGCATTTAGAAATATGTTGACAGAGTTCAGGAGACATTTGATAATAACATATGTTGACAAATTTTCTTTTCAATTTACGCTGAAAACTCTATCAGCTTATAGAAAGTAATATTATGTGCCACGAACACGTTTGCAGCAAATAATAACACCTAGTATATCATTTCATTGCACATAAAATGTGATACAAATGAAAATTCATTCAAATCGAATGTCCCAAACTATACTTTATATGAGTAACAATTGCGTTGGTAAGTTTAACGTTGAATCAACTCTACTATCTAAAAAAGAAATTTCTCATAATAGTCATTTTAACTTTCTAGATTTGGGCACCATTTTCAGAATCTTTTTTCGCTTTATCCAACAAAGTCGGAACTCTTTAAACTTCCACAATTTCTGACTAAAACCTTTTATAGTTGTCAACATTTTAGCTAGAGCTAAAAATAATGTTCAGAAAATGGTGCTCTAATCTGGAAACCTAAAAGTTTTAGCATCTTCGTTACAGCCCTAAACAGTATCCGACAATAACACTGTTTCACAAACTATAATATCTATAAACTGATCATTGATTCTATTATAAAAAATTACCACTGCTTATTTTTCTAACTAGCATCTACAATAAAAAAAGCAAGTACCTGCAATCAGTTCCTTCCGTTTTATTCGATACACAATACCGTTAAATATTTAATTCGCCTAATCCATACGATCGATTATGCATCATTACTGAAAAACAAAAAAAATCATTTTTCTAGGATACTTCGTTTTTCGTAAAGATCCACCGTCATTGACGGAAAAGTTTCTCTCCATCGAAAGGTGCCCGTTCGTCTGCATTAGCTCAGTCAAAACAGAACTCAAGTCTATACCTAGTATGTTTATTTCGAATTTCAGACATATTTTTGTGTTAAGAAATGGAAAATATGAGAATTTCAATTTTGCCTACAAATACTGGTAGAACATCGAAAAACTTGAATGACTTCTCTAACGTATGAGTTTGGCGGATATCGATAACATCTGTCAATTTTCGTGGGTTTCTGAGATTCACTTCGGTGGATTTTGACTTAGAATTTGTGCATACTTTGAAAGCCGTAGGGAAGTATCCTCATATCAGTAATTGTTAGAGAGGATACTAACAAGTGTCCATTTTTTTAAATTCTTTATCATGTTCTTTGTTATTCTTGCCTGTTATATTTAAGCCCATCTCTGTTGGTACATATGCAATATGTGGATATAAAGGTTTATCTACTTTTCTCGTTTCCCTTCCTCTCTCTCTCTCTTTGGTACTTGTGGAGATGGTTTAGGTAATGTATGAGTAGCTGAACTTTTCTTAATCAATCGGCTTCTTTCTTCATGGAAAAAAAATATTCTCTCGTTTTGTTGTAACTCTTGCTATCCATAGGAACCTCTGTAACAGTGATTGATTTATCGCATAATCACATCATGTTTCGATATATACAAAAAGAAAAAGAATAGGAATATTGTGAATGAAAGATAAATATTTTCCTTATGACTAACACGAGCACACACGCCTTTGCTTCCGTTCTATACTCTGTATTGTATCTACAGATCTTATCATTGGTTTATTCTATCACTAATAAAATTTTGTTGCACAACATGTTAATTCATCATGTTTAGCTAGCTTCTTATAAACTCTGATATATTTCAACGTAAAACAATATTTCGTTACATTATTATGCCACTAATATGTGGCATTTATTTTCGACCTGGTTCCTTACTGATTCCTCGGCTAGTATTCATCAATGTCGTTTGAATACACTCATGTGTGCCAGATTAGAACATGAAATATATACATCCACCAGTGATATAACGATACCAAGAATTGTATGGAGGATTATTTTCAAAATGAAGATGAACTAATAAAAGTGACAGTCAACAATAGAAATCATATAGAGACATATCATAAATATTCATTGCTTCAATGATGAATGGTCCAAGTCTAAATAATTTGTGCGAATGATGAAGCAAAGTCTCTCATTTACCTCAACTAATTTTCTATCTTTGGGCTACTAACTCGTGCTCGATCAGGTAACTATTATATTTTATATTATCTCCTCTGTTTATTTACGTCATGCTTCAATAACTGTTTTGCATATTAATCATGTTAACAATGTTGTACTTGAAGGAGAAAATATTGAACTTTCGGGATAATTTTAAAATCGACTCTTTGTATATGGACCACTCGTGTGAAAATAGATCCAACCGTCGTGAAGAACAAACGGATATGCGTGATATATCTGTACTTAATATTGCGTTCAAATTCTTTTATGTATATAAATGCAATGCAGCTTCGTTTATCTCTATACAAAAAAAAAGATATTTAAATACAAATAGATTGATATACATACATTTAACAAATATGAACAAGCAACATGCTCTTATATTCATTGCAATGGCAATAATGGTAGATAATGTCTATGGAAGTTATTTACAAGTTAAAATACTTTCAGCTCATTCAGTATTCGATAAAACACAAGATGTAGCAGTGGAAGTACAATATAATAATACTAGTAATTACACAATATCGATTTATAAATGGTATTTACCAAACAATGAATTAAATGATCCATTATTCAAAGTAACTTGTAATAATATTCCCATTAATTATGTTGGTCCACTTATCAAACGGCGTGAATCAACTATTGAAGATATGATTCCTCTAGAACCTGGTAAAACAAAAATCATTCAAGCTCGGTTATCATCAGCATATGATATGACTAAGACTGGTATCTATTCAATTCAATATGATATGCCAACTGAACGTGTTGTCTTCAAACATGCTCGAACATTCGAGAGTTCCCTT